GAAATATAAAAATATTCAGTGGGAAATGGAAAAGTTTTCTTTTACCTTTTTCTTAAGAACGTTCCCGCAGACTATAGGTGGGAACTAGTTGGCGCAAAAAAGCGCATAATTTATTTTCCACCGAATCAATGGTAATGTCATCAAAAATAAAATTATTAAAATCTACCCAGTGAAACGATGGGAACCTAAGATAAAAAATTATTTTAATATTCCCACTGATGTAGTGGGAAGCTCAAAATTTTGAATTCTTACATTTTGTCCAAAAACCCGCGAGTTTAAAAATTATTTCACCAAAAACATTGAATGTATAGAAGACACTTCCCACAAATTGACCCTGTGAATCAGTGGGAAAGTATTTTCTATTACATTAGGTATACCCCTTATTTTTGTGATGACCCAAAAGGTCATCTCGTGTTTTAGAAGTCAAATCTGTGCTCCGAGGCCTTAAAAACCTCCTTTTGTCTCATCTCGATTTGCGTGTGCAGTCAGTCCAGACGTGTATCCGGAAAGCCCTTATGTAAAAATTTGAGAAAAATGCAGTTTTGCCTTTAAGATAGAATTAAGTTGACTTCGGTCAACTTTTTGGGTAAACAAACCCCGACCCGTGTTTAGACGGTCCCGTAGGGTCCGTAGTAAAATATTGGACTTGATCGTATGCCGGAATCGAATTCCGATGTCCTTAGCCCGAGAAAAGAATTTTTAAAGAAAATTGTTTGCTGGAAAATATAAAGACTTTTGGAAATGAAATGGTGTGTGTTCTTGATGGTATCGGACCCGTATTTTGGTTCCGGAACCGGTACAGGTTTAAAATAATATATAAGTCAAACCTGTGAAATTTGGTATAAATCGGACCTTTAGTTGAGAAAATGGAAATTTCAATGTACTTGAAGAATTTCATGAATTTGAGGTTAAATTCGTAGTTGTTGATGTTATTTTGATGATTTGATCGCACGAGCAAGTCCGTATGATGTATTTAGTCTTGCATGCATGTTTGGTTTGGAGTTGAGTTTTGGATAGGCCACGGAGTGAATTTGGACTTAGAACAATTCTGCTGCAGTTGGTGTTTTTGTTGCAGGCTCTGATCTCGCAATTGCGAGGTCAGGTATCGCAATTGCGAGCCTAACAGGCCTGGAAATTGCGAGGACTTCATCCCAATTACGAAGAAGTCAGGCCAGCACTTGATCGCATTTGCGATCCCTACCTTCGCAATTGCGAAGTCATCAGGGAGGGTCAGTTATCCCAATTGTGACTAATTGCTCACCATTATGAGGGGAGCAGACAATGCAACAGGTTCGCAAATGCAATGCCTGTTTCGCATTTGCATCGCATTTGCGAGCTTCGCAATTGCGAAGCTCCTGTCGCAATTGCGACATCTGCGACCTATTAAGTGGGATTTTGACGGGATTTTTCATCATTTTACAACTTTCACAAACCCTAAACATCCTTAGGCAATTTTTCAAAGGCTCAAACTCCTCCAAATCATAAGTAAGTGATTTCTAACTCATCTTTTTCAATCTAATTCACCTTTTTACATAATTTCACTTCAAAATCTAGGGTTTTTCATGGGAAATTGGGTGTTTCTGGGTAGAAGTTAGAATTTTCAAATTTTGGGGATTTGGACCTCAATTTGAGGTCCGATTTCAAAACTAATTGCATATTTGAGTTCGTGGGTGAATGGGTGATCGGGTTTTAGTTCGAACTTCGAGTTTTAACCAAGCGGGCCCAAGGTCGGTTTTTGACTTTTGGGAAAATCATTGGGAAATCTATTTTCATGCATTTGAATTGATTTATTTAGTATTTATTGATGTTATTAAGTAAATTATGACTATATACAAGCGGATTGGAAGTGGAACCGAGAGGTAAAGCGGTAATTGAGGCTTGATTTTTGTCCGTAGAATTGAGGTAAGTGTTTGGTCTAACCTTAGCTTGAGGGAATAGGAGTTGTGGTCTTAATTGCTACGTGTTAGTGTTGAGTACAACGTATAGGCATGGTGACGAGTATCTATACGTTGGTGTCAAGCATGCCCGTGAGTCTTATATCATGATTGTTGTGACTCTATTGTGTATTGTCCATGCATAGGTTGATGATTATAAATGTTGAACATAATTCATGTTAAATCCTTGTTAATTGACCATTGTTGAGTATTGACTCACGTTGGGATTTGTTTTCTGAAGTAACTGTTGGAACGAAATTAGTTATAGCTGATTCCCTTGCCGGGATGTTATTGTTCATATTGTTGATTCCCTTGCCGGGAGGTTATTGTTTATATTGTCGATTCCCTTGCCGGGACGTATTGTTTCTAATGTTTGAGTGAGGAAGAGTGTAAAGCACGAAGGGTGATGCCGTGCATGATGTTGTGAGTGAGTGTTAAAGCACGCAGGGTGATGCCGTGCCGATATTGTGAGTGTTAATGCACGAAGGGTGATGCCATGCCATGTTTATGAGAGTTAAAGCACGAAGGGTGATGCCGTGCCAATATTGCGAGAGTTAATGCACGAAGGGTGATGCCGTGCCATGATTATGAGAGTTAATGCACGAAGGGTGATGCCGTGCCGATTCTGTTGATTCTTATGGTGAGGACGAGAGTAAAAGCATGAAGGGTGGTGCCGTGCACATGTTACTGTTTTCCTTATTCCTGTTGATATCATTATGGTGTTCTTTGTGCTTCTTTACTGAATTTTCTGTTGAGTATTTGATATTTCCCGCAGCATGCTTCCCTTCCCCTCTTCATCTGTTATTTCCTGTTTTTATTATCCGTTGTATATTATTTAACTGCACAGGTTTATATGGTTTCGTGTCCTAGCCTCGTCACTACTTCGCCGAGGTTAAGCTCGACACTTACCAGTACATGGGGTTGGTTGTACTGATACTTCCCTCTATACTTCCTGTGCAAATTTCGGTGCTGGACCTCGTGAGTAGATCGTGGGTTGCTGCCTTCAGTCCATAGGAGACCCGAGGTAGATCTGCCGGCGTTCGCAGACTCTGGAGTCCCCTTCCTTATGTTTTTTATATACTGTCTCTTTTCATTTCGAGAACAGTTGTACTTTTCTTTCTAGACCAGTGTTTGTAGACATTCGTAGATGTTCGTGAAATTGTGACACCAGATTCTTGGGTAGACATGTACTGGAGTATTGATTTTGTTATAGCACTTCTGCATTTTATATCTGCTTAGTTACAGTTACTGTTTATATTTGTTTAGGTTGATTGCTATTGTGTTAAAATCATAGTAGTTGGCTTGCCTAGCTTTCACGAGTAGGCGCTATCACGACTCCCGAGGGTGGGAAATCCGAGTCGTGACAATTTTTCTTCTCTTTTTCACTCTCATTCTTCTCTTTCTCTCTCATTCTCTTTGCAGACCAGACCTTTCCCCCATTTTCAGAAATCAGTGAGCTTTCACTAAGCTCATGCAAAATCGGTAAGGCCTCTCTCTTTCTCTCCCCTTTCTTTCTCCCTTTTCTGATTTTACCCTAAATGCCTAAAAACCTAGGGTTCCTCTATGCCTGAAAATCTAGAGAGGGAAGTGCAAATCATCCCATTATATAGTAATAAATGTTTGTAATCTTTTCCAATTGATGTAATTTATGTTTTGTTTGCTAGATTTTGTTTCTCACTTGCTCTTTTGATACAGACTAAAGTTTTTCGAATATTGGAAATTTGTTTCTGTTTTTAGTTTCGAGTTGGTGGAGGGATTAGCGAAGTGTGCATAACGTATAGATTCAACAGTTATTGTTATGAATGCTCAGTAAATGTTATGAATCCTAAATACTTATTCGGTTAACGTTGTTAAATTGATTCATTTTTGGGTTATATGCAACAGAGGCATGTTTCTTAAAACCATTGGGACTTGGGAGTAAAAGGACATAAGAATGTGATCCCGCTATGATACCTGATAATTTTCATCCTCCATTTTTTAGTCTTTTGAACTGGAAATATTTTGCTGTTTTCATCTTAGAAAATGAAATTTCAAACCTATAGTATATACATCCTTTCCATCTCTGAGGAAAAGTACCTAGAGATAAAAGAAGACTTAAACAAGTAAGAAAGCATTGCATTTGGCAAGCTGGCCTGATCCTACAAAGTGTGATCTAACATATGATTCTTCACTCTGCCTTGTACAACGGTGTTTTCCGACTACCTGAACGATGACTGATGAATTATAGTTGAAGTAAATATAAAATCAAAGAGAACAAGGTAAATTTGATCCTCTGGAGCTGGTTCTTTCAGTTGTTGAATACTACTAAGCTGCCAAATTTAGTAGATGTGGTACATTAAGCCAAACAGAAAGAAGTTTCAAGCTTATCTCTTGGAAACAAGTAAAGTAGTGATCTTGAAGTTGGAAACATTCAATTCATTTAAGACAATTATTAGGAATAGAATAAGCAGCAACTAGGGAACTGGGGGGTAAGAGTAGAAAACTAGGAGATAGTTTTCAGAATTGTATCAGATATTCATAGTGCTAAAGGGTTTGCATTAGATATTCATTCATTTTGCTTCAATTTAGCTAGTGTACTATAATCAGCAGATTAGCGTTCTTATAAGATTTCTGAAGTGTTCTGTGGCTTTTAAGAAGTCAATGTCTCACAATGTAACTATTGTAGCCTGGTTGAACATAGTCTTAAAACATGTGTGTACTTGAATAGATCTATGCATGTTAGTAGAGATGGGATGAACCTGATGAATGAGACTTCACTTACACCCTTATCCCATTTAGATAGTTTTCTGTTGTTAGGTTGTATCAGTTCATAGTCTGTACAGTTTTTTCTTTTTGATAGCTAGCTATGTCAAGGCTGGGTATGGTTATGTAAAGTTGTTACTTGTGTGATTAATAGAAATATGTTTGTTACTTGTGTTACATGAATTGATCTCATCAATATCAATTGACAACCTTCATATAGACAGAAAGGTCTGAAAAGAGTTAAGGATGTCTGCAATCATGTTACTATAAATTGCTGATTTTCGTAATACCATCTTCTTTGCTTCTGCTGATTTTCCTAATAGACTACCTTAATCGTATCTGACATTTGGGGGGATATTCTAGCTCCTCTTTTTCCCAATTAAGTTTTGAAGCAATATTCTCTTGGCTAGGAGAGTACTCCTGCAAAAGTCAACAACAACAATAACTACGTCTCAGTCTCAAACAAGTTGAGGTCTGCTAAAAATACTAGTGAAAGAGAAATTACCTCGAGTTTATTCATAAGTTCCTTAGCAATAGGGGAAGATACAAAGATTTGGCGTGCATTAGGACAGATGAAACCTTTTTCCACAGCTTTGTCAATGAATATCAAAAGGGAATTGTAGTAACCGTCAACATTCAATAGTCCTACTGGTTTATCATGTATTCCAAGTTGAGCCCAAGCTATAACTTCAAGAAGTTCTTCTAAAGTTCCATAGCCACCTTAATCAATGTAAATATATCATTAATTTGTTTTTTTATCCTTGTGCATTAATAGTTATTTCTCCAAACAGTTGTCATGGAATATATGCTTACAAGTTTTCAGCTTTTTAAAATGACCAGGAAGTGAAGATACAAAAGTGTGAAAGAAGACAAAATCAGGTCATAAGTCTTAAGGTAACTTCATTTGCTAATCTCTAAGTTGGTTTTAGTTGTTAAATGTAAGTTTAGATGTTAAATTACTAGAACAACTACATGAATTTATGTTGCTTTTACCTTGATAAAAAATCCTTTATTGTGAATATTATATCTATCCTCCAAGTTTAAATTTATTTATGGATGATAAACAATGTGTTAGAATCTTGGTTTGACTTTTAAATTGATTCCAAGAACTTAATAGGAGCATTTCTATGAAAAAATACTTTTCATTCATAGTAATTTGATCTATAACCATAGCCTTTTCTTGACTTATAAAAAGACGAATAAAAGTGAGTTCTTTAAGGTATACTATTCATAATTGATTGTAAATTATGTGAGTTCTTTAAGGTATACTATTCAAGATTAATTGTAAACTAACTTGAAACAAAGAAATTGTTCTATGTCTATTCATTTGTTTGTGTGTATTTGTGTACTAGATGGAACGTGAACATCGTAGATGTATGTACGATAGGAATCATCCTAATCGTTGTGGATTAAAGGAAGAATTTGTTGAAGGTGTTAAAGGATTTATTGCTCATGCAAAAATACTTCCTGAATTTTGTAACGAAGGAACAATTAGGTGTCCTTGTGTGATATGCAAGTGTACAAAGTTGTTGCAACCGGAAAATGTTAAAGTTCATCTTTATAGCAAGGAGTTTAGGAAAAACTATTATGTGTGGACTGTTCATGGAGAGAACTATTGTAGGGTTCGTGATGTTCATTTTCTAAATCTAGTTAGTGGTGAGAGAAGTACACAAATGGAGAATAATATTGAAAATTCTCGATTACATGAAATGGTGTCAGATGCTTTTGGTTTTTACCCAGGGGTTCAATCCCAACAAAATGTAGTTGAGCCTCCCAATGATGAGGCAAAGCGCTTCTATGAATCATTAGAGTCGGCTAGTCGTCCACTCTATAAAGGCTCAATGCACTCTAAGTTGTCTGTTGCAGTTAAATTGCTAACTATTAAATCAGATTGGAATATTTCTCAAGCGGGCATAAATGCTAAAATTGGGCTCATGAGTGAAGTTAGTCCGAGCATTAACTTACCCAATGATTACTATAATGCAAAGAAATTGGTTTCCAAGTTAGGACTTTCCTCAACAAAAATTGATTGTTGTGAAAATGGTTATATGTTATATTATAAAGATGATGCGGCCCTAGAAGCATGCAAATTTTGTGGACAGTCTCGTTTTAAGGAAGTCACAAATGCCAAAGGTAAGAAAGTTGCAGTTAAGAAGATGCATTACATACCAATTATACTTAGATTAAAGAGGATGTATGCATCAATGAGTTCTGCTCCTCATATGAGATGACACCATGAAAATAGAAGGCCACCTGGTGTCTTGTGTCATCCTTCGGATGGAGAAGCGTGGAAGCATTTTGATAGGATGTTTCCAAACTTCGCTAATGAACCAAGAAATATTAGGTTGGGTTTGTGTGCAGATGGTTTCACTCCATTTTCTGTCTCTGCTGCACCATATGCATGTTATCCTGTCTTTGTTACGTCATATAATCTTCCACCTGAAATGTATATGACAAGTCCATATTTGTTCCTAACTTGAATAGTTCCGGGTCCAAGTAATCCAAAAGGTTCAATTGATGTATATTTGCAGCCGTTGATTGATGATCTAAAATTATTGTGGTATGAAGGCGTTGAAACATACGACATATCAACTAAGCAAAACTTTAGATTGTGTGCTGCTTTGATGTGGACTATTAATATTTTTCCTGCATGGTCGACTGCTGGAAAGTTAGCTTGCCCTACTTATGGAAGATACAAAAGCATTCACTTTGAGACGTGGAGGTAAAAACACATGGTTTGACTGTCACCGGCGGTTCTTGCCAATGGATCATGAGTTCAGGAGAAATACTAGTGCGTTTATGAAGAATCAAACAGATTATGATGAGCCACCACCAACCTTGTCAGGTGAGGAAATTTGGAAGAGGGTTAAAGTTCTACCTAAGGTAATTGGAGTCTCCATCAGCTAGAATACCTGGTTATGGCGTTGAGCATAATTGGACTAAACAAAGCATATTTTGGGAGTTACCTTATTGGAAGCATAATCTTCTTCGACATAATTTGGATGTCATATTGAGAAAATATTTTTTGATGACCTATCTAATACTGTTATGGATGACAAGAACAAGACAAGAGATTACTTGAAGGCCAGGATGGATTTACAAGAATACTGCAGGCGAAGAGAATTAGAACTAAAAGAAGTAAATAACAGGATGATGAAGCCTAAGGCTAGTCATACATACACTTTGGATGATAAACAAAAGATCTGTGACTGGGTTTGGAATTTGAAGATGCCCGATGGGTATGCGTCAAACTTATCCAGGTGTGTTGACATGAAAGAAGAAAAGTTGATGTATATGAAAAGCCACGATTGTCACATTTTCTTGGAATCATTAATTCCTATTGCATTTAGTTCATTGCCTGAGGGAATATGGAAACCCATCACAGAGATAAGCTTATTTTTTAAGGACTTGTGTTCTAACAAATTAAGGGATGAAAATCTAATTTTCATGGAAAGTAATATTCCTTTAATCATAAATAAACTAGGGAAAGCTTTTACATGTGGTTTCTTCAATGTAATGGAATATCTGCCAATTCACCTTGCACAAGAGGCACGACTTGGAGGACCGGTTCAATGTAGATGAATGTACTCCTTCGAGAGGTAATGGCCATTAATTATTTTCTCTTTATGTATTTTGGTAAAAAGAATTCCTATCTAAAAGTATGCTATGCAGGATTATTGGCAAATGTAACGGACCGTGAAACAAAAGGCCAAGATTGGAGGGATCAATATGTGAAGCATATCTAGTTAGAGAAACCTCTCATTTTTGTTCGTATTATTTTGAGAATCATGTTCCATGTTTGATAAATAGGCCGAATCAGCATGATGAAGGCGATAATGATCCTTTGGCACTCCCTGTATCCATATTCAATCAATTGGGTAGAGGTCCGAGAAGTCGTCAAAAAAGAAGTTGGACTGATAAGGAAAAAAATCGGCTACAACACATGTATCACTGAATTGCCCCGAAGTTCAACAATTTTACAAGTAGATTTGGAATTATACTATTGACCTATGTGCATAATCTATTCCTCTTTTAACTAATAAACATTGTAAAATGTCTGACAGTTACTTTGTGAGTTAGTTCGGCCATGCTGATGTTTATCCTAGATTTTCAGAGTGGTTTAGAGATTAAGTGTTAATTAATATGTAACAAAATTTTCATTATTTACACACTATATGATTTTCTAACTTCTCGATTTTCTTTAACTCTATATAGGTTCATAATCCAAATAATGGAATACGTGATCCTTTTTTGCGTGATATAGCTTGGGGACCTACCCCACAAGTCAAAACCATGTCTACGTATTTTGTCAATGGATACAAGTTTCATACGGAAGAATGGTCTAAGAATAAGAAAACCATTAATAGCGGGGTATGAGTGAAAGGTGGTGATGGTTACCAAGGTGGGGATATTGATTATTATGGTGTGCTTCAGGAGATTTTAGAAATATAGTATGTTGGTTGGCCAAAGAAAAGGTTGGTACTTTTTCGATGCAAGTGGTTTGATCCCACACCAAAAAGAGGTACAAAGGTACACCCACAATACAAAATAGTAGAAGTTAAGCATGCGAAGGAGTACGAAAGCTATGATCCATTTGTTATAGCACAAAATGTGAATCAAGTGTATTACGCTCCTTATCCGTCGACGTGTAAAAATAAGAATGAACGGTGGGTAGTTATTAAAACTAAGCCAGTCGTAATTCTTCCTTCTATCACAAAGTGTTATATGTTCTGTGCAGCATGTGATGTAATGCTTTTCTAAGGGTGAAAGGAATCCAATAAATTGAGATCATCTGATGAAATAGATCTCTTGTTCGAGCATGTTGGGAAGGTAAATGAAACTCATGAGATTTTGTACTCCTTTAGTTTTATCTTCATCTTCATCTCACTCCTATCCCACTCCGCCTTCTCTTTTCTGAATCAAAACTCAGTGTTACATCTTCCCCATCTTCTTCCAGATATAGCCCATGCCCTGGTAGATGTTAACTTACCTTGAGTCACAGGGCTCTGTTTGAAAAATAAGCTTCAATCCTTTTTCTTTTTGTGTCTTTGTGAGCACAACACTGAGGTTGGAATCCTGAGGGACATGAAACGGGGAGAAGAGTGGAGGGTTCAAGTGGAAGATGATGAACTGAACAACTATGTTAAACTTCACCTCCTGCTTGTATGGTGAATTACTATAGTTTGAACATTTGTATAATGGAATGGTCATCTCATTTTGTTTAATGATATTCTCTATTCGATTTTCTTTGTATCTTGTGACATAATCTATTAGAATTGCTCTATCTCTGTTGTTAGTACTTGAGTTATGGCATTAATTTCAGCTTATCATCTGAGTGGAACTCATGTCTGCAAGTATCCATGTGGACCCTCTGATTATAGGAATTATACTCCTAAGGGTCTCAAAATTGAGTGGCTAGAAGTCCTTAAGGTCATAGCTATTTAGCATGTTCTTCCTTCTAATGTCCTGTCGCACTTTGTTGTCTAAGCAAGCAATTTCAGACAGAACGACATAAAGTAAGAAAACCTAACAGTATTAGCTTGTCCAGAAAAAATAATATATTTTACTTTTACTCATGCGAGTGGTATCAAGTTGTAGCGGCCTAGCGGGTAGCCTACTAGCCCGTTCCAATTATCTAATGGCACAGGAATTGTAGATTTCTTATCCCCTTAAAGCATCTATATATATATATATATATATATATATATATATGCTCTAGATCAATCATGTCATTATCATAATCTTTTTTTTAAAAAATTGAAATTGTTTGTACCAATGACATCCTATAGTCCTCACACCAAATTAACCTTCTTCCAAATCGTGTACCCTATGAATTCAAATTTTGTTTTTATATAAAGAGATGGTATTCCATAAGCTTTATTTTCTTTTCCATGTTTAAATAGGCCAAGATAAAAGAAATTATCTGAACTTGGCCGATCCAATAGTTTCTAAATATTTCCAGGATATTTTAATATGCTTGGACATTAGAAATAATTCCACCATCATATGGCATATATGTTCTTGCAAGCAATGATGAAATACCAAGATACATACCTGACTCCTTTTTTCGGGTGGTGCTTTTGTCACGATCCGGATTTCCCACCCTCGGGAATCGTGATGGCGTCTACTAGTGAAAATTAGGCAAGCCAATCAACTGAATTATTTACCTTGTTTATATTTTTTTTTAAATTCGTTAACAGTTATAAACCAACAGTTAATAATCAACAAAATT